GGGGGCGAGGTAAATTCCTTTTCAGTTTAAACAAGCCAGAGTGAGTTCTCTCATTTGCAACTAAGAACAACTAACTGACTGCAAGTTGATCCTGGAATTGCAAGTAACAAATCCTAAAAGATGGAAAGGTAGGACAGGAAACCCACTCCTAGGGTTAGTTGGTGAAATTAATTATTAGTTAGCAAAACATCTTGCCAGACTGTTACTGGACTTCAGGGTACAAAGTGGACTGGTGTCAAGGGAAATAATAGGGGAACTGCAGAGTGTTGATATGAGTTTGGTCACTTAGGCAGCTGTGTTTGTGCCAGACTGCATGGGTTCAAACCCTGGCTCTGCTTGCTTGCTGTGTGACCAGGTGGCTCACTTGAAAAGAGAAATTCTAATCATTCCTACTTAGGATTATTAGGAAGGTTAAACAACTCATACATGGAAAACAGTATCACAGAAGTATTGAAACTGAGCCATTGCAAGCAAAAGAGCAATTAAGCCAGACTAAAGGAAGCTGGTTTGAAAGCAGAGGTAAGAAAACTGCCTTGCTAAGAAAAGCTTTCTCTGCTTGCAACCTGTACAGTTTGAGTGGATTGAGAATTGCAAGGCTTAGAGTCCTGCTGACTTGAGAAACCTACCATAATTGAAACAACCAAGAGGCCCAGCAGCAGCCTTAGCAGGAGTTGAGATTAGAGATTGTGGTCTTATAAAAATGGAATTAAAGACATTGCTTTCCCACTTCAAATGAAGGCTTTGAATTGACAATAGCCAGTAAGGTAGGAAGAAGGGACTAGACAGAGCCCCAGATACCAGCTGCTACAAGACAAAATGCTTAGCTTAAAGATCATGTAGGTAAGATCTTTGCATTGACTTGAGCATGGAATGTGCAGGTATCTTCTTTTCTGCCTTTGTATGTTAGTTCCTTTGTTAAGGGCAGATAGCTGTAGGTCTGTACTATGTAGGGCCACATGTGGACCTGATAAAAAAAACTGCATTTCACCCAGAGATTTTGGACTGGAATCAATGACTGGAAGAGACTTGAAGTCATCTTCCTTAGGTTGGGGGTGAGTGCCCTTAAAAGTTTATGTATGGGAAGAACAATGAATATTTTGGGGGGAACCAGAGAGGTCAACTGTGGCAGACAACACATATCCCAAACTCCTTTCTATCTTACGCCTCTGTTTTAAAGGCTGGAAATAGTCTCATGTGGAGCTAGGAGCAGCCATGTGCTGTTTCTGGCCAATGAGGTATAAATGGCAATGTAGTTTACATTTAGGTAGTTTTACAATGCTTTTTACTTTCCTAGTTAAGCCATGACAGCCATTTAGTGAACTTCAGGTGATTAGCTAACATGCCAAGGATGGTGGGAGGAAAGGCCTGGTCACATCAGTGAGGTGCTGCATTGTGCTAGACATAACTCTTACGGGTGGAGAAACAGCTATTGTCTGGTAGTTTCTTTGGCTTAAAGGCAAATTTACCTCTTGCTGATACAGTCTGTTTGCTTCCCAAAGTGTGTGCAATCAGAAGGGTCAGGGTGGGAGGGGGATTTGCAGATAATTAAAAATCACCTATTAGTATAAAACCTTGCAGACTATATTTTCTAATAGTTTGCTTTTCCGATAAGTAGTCCCTACCTAAACTAAAAGAGAATTCAGTTTTTCATTTGGAATCAACAAGCATTTCTTTGTCAACTGCTATATGTATTGCTTTTAGTACGGGGAATGAAAAAAATGAATAAGGTAGTAATCCTTGCTTTCAGAGATTATAGTTTATTTCAGAGAGACAGACACAAGAAGGCAACCCAGTACAAGGTAAAACATGCTGAAACAAGACATGGCACTTGACTGAGCTCTTTGGGGTAAATGACAGTTTTTATCTCTAGTTCCAGCATCTGGTAAACAATAAATTGG